TGTGTGTGTGTGTGTGTGTGTGTGTGTGTGTGTGTGTGTGTGTGTGTTCATGCACTACTCCTCCCAGCTTTATATCATTTCCTCATTTAATAAGCTTGTCACCCATGCCCTTATCAAAGGCACTGAAAAATTGTAAATAGCAAAGGGTCAAACATAGATCCCTGGGCATAAAGCACAGCTCCACCTGCCCTGCTCCATAAACTCCTGTGGCTCCCTATCACCTCTACAATCAAATCTCTTTGGCATTCAAAGCCCCTCCTAACCCCCCCCCCCACTTTCCAGTCTTTTCTCACACCCTCTGTGATCCAGTGCTGCTGGCCTCCCAGCTGTTCCTTTCACAGGAAGCCTTTCCCAAGCCCAATCCCAATCCCTCTCAATTCTATTGCCTTCTCTCTAGTGATTGTTTTCTATTTATCCTGAATATATCTTGTTTATATACAGCTGGGTGTGTTTCCTTTCCCCCAACAGACCATGAACTCCTTTCTTTTTTCCTGAGCCATTAGCAAATACTTTTTGACTTGTGGACAGTCGTTAGTAACTCACTCTGTATCTAGATAAATAACCAGTTCCAAATCCAGCAAATTCCTGTGTCTAGCTCCACATTTCCATGAGTTTTGAGGTTCTTCATCTCTCCTGGTTCTCCTCCCTGAGCCCTTGAAATCATGCTCCTTGGCTGGGTCATCTCAGTCTTACACTCGAACCAGGAACATCTCCCAAGGGACTCTCCTGGACCTTCTTTTCTTTTAGTGACCAGACAGGCTCAGTGGGCCAGCCACCAAAGGACAGATGTCTGGACAGCCCCGGCCACAAAGGGGATTCATGTATGCAAAGGGAAGACCCTCAGGCTTCTCAGATTCCTTCTTATTCGAGCCCTCCGAGGTCTCCCAACCTCTAATCAGTTTTATAATGCTAAGACTTCTATGGGACTTTACCTCTAAATCCACGGCCTTACACATCCTCTGACCTCAAAAGTTCCTTCCGGTTCTTGGGACTCTGAGTAAGTCCTGGGAGTCTGAAGGGCCTCATGGGGCTGGCCAGGGCCTCAGAGGGCAGCTTATCCACCCTGCCTCTCCCTGATCAACCAGAATTGATATTTTCAGAGCACGGTAGGGCATATTTGGACTCTCCATCAGAGCTTCCCCAAGCTGGGAGGACCCCTAGAGGCTTTGAGACCAATTTGTACCTGAGCAAGAATCCTAACAAATGACCGGTTTGCAACTTTGCAGTGACAGGACGCTCCCTGCCAGCCCTCTGCCCTCAGACAACGCTGATTGTGAAGAAATCCTTCCTTCTACCCAACTGAGACCCTCCACTCTTCCATCATCATCATCTTCATCCCATCGCCACTCCAGCCTGGAGCTAACTGCAGGGTCCTGCTTGCTGAACTGAATTGAACTGAAAATGAGTTTCCCATTGCCAACATCCCCTTCTACATTTCAACAGATGTTACCACCAGATGTTTCAATGCCAGCACTGGAGGTGAGTGGCTTCCCTTAGTCTTTTCAGAAATGCATCCTGGGTTCAGCTGGAAGGACCCTGAAGACCATGTAGTCCAACTCTCTCATTTGACAGAAGAGGAAACTGAGGCATAGAGAAAGGAAGGGATTTGCCCAAGGTGGCACAGGGAGTAAGAAGCAGTCAAGGAAGATGAGATAGCATCTCCTCCCCTCTAACCAGATGTGTGGGTCTAACTACAACCTTTGACAAGGGAGAAAACTGAGGCCCAGAGAGGGGAAGCCAGAAAGAAGGTGGCTCTGAGTCAGGAAAAGGAAGTCGTGCAAATCTCTGAGAGATCTGCTTTGCTACCACCATCCCTGCAATTTAGGGCCATACACTGGGGCCAAGAAAGCCACAAAATCCCTTTTGTCTTTTGCTCAATTTTAGAAAGGGGAACTGTTTTTACAACTCATCCATTCTCAGAACTGGTGAGTTCTCCACCAGGGCATGATGGGCTCAGAGGGCGTCTTGTCCTACCTCTCACCCAGAGCAAGGGTCCCCTCGCCCACCATGAATCCCAGGCCAGAAGGGTCCTGGGGTACATGTCTATAACCTACTGTAGCTATCAAATCCTGGGGTCTCCTGATAACCCTGCAAGGGTCCCCTCGCCCACCATGAATCTCAGCACCAGAAGGGTCCCTACTGTAGCTGTCAGATCCCGGGGTCTTTGGATAATCCTGTAAGGGAGGTACCATAGATACTATTGTTCCCATTTTGCAGGTGAGATTGGAACCCAAGACTTCTTGGCCCCACTTATGATGTCCCACACCATAGGCTCCAATCTCTCTTGTGACCATCCCCAGACCACCAATGACATGGGGCTCACCACTTCCCCGAGCCCGTTCTCGCTACCTCATAGGATAATCAAGGAGACATGGAGTCAGGGAAGGCCAGAGCTGAAAGGACTCCTGCGGGCATTCTGTCCATCTTGCTTAGCCAACAACGCTAACCATGACTCTCTTTTTACAGAGCATTGTATGTTTTACCCAATGCTCTTCTGACAAAGGGGCTGCATTTTCACCCCCACTTTATAGATAATGAAGTGGAGCTCCCCAGAAGTTAGGTGACTGCCCCCCAGATTTGGGGGTTGTAGTAAACCTGTGTCATCCGACTCCAAGGCTGGCAATCTGGTGCCATCTTCTCAAATCTCCTAACTGAAGGGAAGCTCAGAGGGCATTGAGCTCAGGTCCTCCCTGAAACATGAGCTTCTCTTCCTCATCTCCACCAAGGAAGTGGTCCTCCAGCCTCTGCTGACGGGGAACTCATTACCTTCCCCAACAGGCAGCCTGTGCTGGGGTTAGACCAAGACGATGGGACCAAATCCACCAAGCCTCAGACTTCCCTTCACTGCCGCTGGTCCAGTCTCTTCTCTGCCCCTGGGGATCACCCTTTAAATCTTGGAACAAGCTCTCATGTCTCCCCTGAGGCGTCTCCTCAGGTTAAGCATGCTCGGTTCCTGGAACCAATCCTTGTGACATGACAGCAAAGCCCTTCCTCAGCTGGCACAGTGAATGGAGCAAGTCAGGAAGACCTGAGTTCAAAGTCCACCTCAGACACTTACCAGTCACCTCACCTCTGTCTCCCTCAGTCTCCTCATCCATAAAATGGGGACAATGAGCCCTACCTCCCAGGAGCATCAAAGGAGATGATGTCTGTAAAGCACTTTGCAACCTTTGATTGCTCTACAAATGAACACTGGCTGTTGCTGTCTTGGGTGCTCTGTGCCACACGTTCTCCAGCTCTCCCACATCCCTCCTCAAGGTCTCCACCCTTGTAGGGCTGCCAGTTTGGTCTGCCCATCTCTCTAGCCCAGGCACGCCCTCACTCTCAAGGCTCAGCAGATGAACGGCCAGGTGCCCATGAAGCTGAGGACTGCTTCCCAAGGCGGCCTTGACACTAACACACAAATTGGGTCTGAAACATGGAGGTTTGCCAAGAACAATGGGTTGGCCATTGGGTAGCCGCCGGTAGAGCACGGGAGGGAGATCTCCATGAAAGGAAGAGGACTCACCCAGCTGGCTTGTGCTGGAACAGGATCTGCACAGTCCTGACTGCTCACCTTTCTTTGTTGCCCCTGGGAAGGCTTTGGCCAAGCATCCAGACTCTCTGCCGCAGGAGTCCCATGCCGTGACCTCCAAAGAGTGTAGGACATCTGGAATAAGAAAAGAAACGAGTCTACGTGGAGACCGCCGTCACTGGAAGAGGCTCAGTCACCTGCTCTGGCCTGGTCCAGCAGCGATCAGCCAGACTCAGCTCAGTTGGACCAAACCAGACTCATTCATTCCTTCATTCAGTCAGTCTGTCAGTCAACAAACATTTCAATAGACTCTCTGAGTTGGAAGGGCCCTCAGAGGCTGCCATCTGGTCCCATTTGTCACTGAACAAAAACCCTTACTACAACACACACGAGTGTCCAGCCTCAGCTTCAGGCTCCCAGGGATGGGGGCCCACTACCCCCAGAGGTGGCCTGTTCTCCTCTTGGATAGCTCTGGTGGCAGGAAGCTCACTCCCTATGTTGGGCCATCTCTATGCAGCTCTGGCCCATAGCTGGGCAAGTCTAAACCTGTTCCCACAGAACAGACCTTGGAAGAGCTCAAAGGAGCCCCAGAAACCATGGAGTTCCATCCCTCAGTCTTTCAGAAGGGGAAACTAAGGCAGGCCCAGAGAAGGGAACTGGTGTGCTTGGTGTCACACAGTGCCAGGCCTAGAAGCAGCACCTCCCAGGTCTTCCCCTGTGAAGAGGTGGATTTAGGGCAGTCCATGCTGGGGGCCTTTCTTTTTATCCTTACCCTTCACCAGAGCCTCGTGGCACCCCCGCTTCCACAGGTCCTTCCTGTTGATTCTGTTGAAGACCCGCAGGGCCAGTGCCCAGGCCTCAGCCGGGCCACAGTGTGCCACCAAGATCTGTGCCATGTCCAGCGGTCCTGCCTTCTCCATTCGGCCCCAAGGCACTCTCCCCTCCCCCTCCCTCTCAGCCTCCAGGCCCAGGTACATCTTGAACTTGGTCAGCTCCACAGTCTCCAGCTCTTCCAGATAGGCCGCCAGACAGCAGAGGATGGTGTCTGCCATGCCCATTGGCAGGGGCTGAGCTGAGGGTGGGGAGAAGGCTCCAGAGCTCAGGGGCTTGGACAGTACAGGAGGCTTCCTGATCAGTCAAGGGATCCCCAATGTCACCCACTATCTGGCTTGGCACTGGAAGATGACAGAGGAGATACCACCATGGACATGGGGACAGTGACAAACAGACAGAAAGAGATGGTGTGGGAGGGGAGGCAGGACACTGGGAAAGAAAAAAGGACAGAGAAAAAGCCAGAGATAGCAAAAGAGAGAAGGAGAGGGGTAGACAGAGAGAAAGGGGGAGGGAGCAGCTAGATAGGCAAAGACAGAGAGAGGGACAGAAAAGGCAAGGCTGCAAAAGAGAGGAGAGGGGTAGACAGAGAGAAAGGGGGAAGGAGCAGATAAAGAGACAAAAAACTAGAGAAAATGGGAGATTGTAGAAGAGAGAGACAGACATAGGCAGTTAACAGAGAGAGAGCTGGAAGGAGAGATGAAGAGAGATGGACACAGAGAGAGCGGGAGAGGCAGGGAAAGGGACCAAGGGACCAGGGTCCGAGGAGCTTGCAGATGAAGCCAGGAGCCTCCAAGGTGCTTCACCTACTCCCAGGCAGTGTCTCCTCCCACAGGGCGGGTCTCAGTCCTACTAAAGCTTGAGGAACTGACTCCTTTTATAAAGAGGAAGCTGGGGATATGTTTGTGTCAGGGGGAGGGTGCTCTGGGAAGCCCAGTGTGGCCATTGGAGACGGGCCCTCCCCCTTCCCCTCCCCCTTCGTCTCCCTCCCTGGCCTCCCCGTCCTGCTCCCAGGATTTTCTTTGACCTCTTCCCAAATCCGATGGTCTTTGCTCGTTCTTCTCTTTTGCATTGGTCACTGCTGGCCACCCTCTCCTCAGTCTTCTTTTATTTTTTCTTTTTTGGTGAGGCAATTGGGGTTAAGTGACTTGCCCAGAGTCACACAGCTAGTGAGTGTTATGTGTCTGAGCCTGGATTTGAACTCAGGTCCTCCTGACTCTAGGGCTGGTGCTCCGTCCACTGCGCCACCTCGCTGCCCCTTCTCCTCAGTCTTCTTGACAGCGACTTTGTCCTGATCTGTTTCCTCCCCACCCGTCTGCCCCTTTTTGGTCTTCTTTGCTGGGTCTCGGTCCACACTGTAGCTTCGAGCCGGAGGCTTTCTCCTGGACCCTCTTCCCTTCCTCTCTACCTTTTCTCCCTCCCAGTGACTTTTTCTGCTACCATGAATTTAACTCTCATCTCTGTGCACCCTCAGTCTCTCTCTAGAGCCTCAGTCCCTTGTTACCAATCACCTGTTAGACATTTCAAAAATGACGTCCTGGATCAATCTGAAAAAAGAAAGCCTCCAGAACTGAAATCAGGATCTCTCCCTTCCGACAGGCCCCTCTGGCAAACTTCCCTGCTTCTGTTGAGAGCCCCACTCCTCTTCCAGTGTCCCTGGTTCTTAACCTTGGGGCATTCTCCACTCTCCACTCAGCACACCCTCCCTCCTGTCACTTGCCAGACCTCAACATTTCTGCCTCCCTATCATGTCTCCCATCTGGCTCCTCTAGACTTACAGTCATCTCCTGACCGGGGCCTCATCTCCTCTCACCTCAGCCTCTTCTTTGGTCTCCCGGCCTCCAATCTCTCCCTGCCAGGCCATCCTACCTGGTTGCTCAAGCACAGATGTGACCTGCAACAGCTCCATCAACGGCAGTGGCTTCCTGTCACCTTTAGGATCCACATAAACTCCCCCGTTGAGATTTTCAAGTTCTCCACAACCTGAACCCTGTTTCCAACCTCTGTGATCCGGCCAAACCGGCCTTCCCTCTGTCTGCCGACCCACCCCCTGCCTCCGTCTCTGTATTGGCTGCTGTCCCTCATGCCGGAGATCTGCTTCTCTCCTCCCCCTCAGAATCCCTCCCTTCCTGGAAGCCGGAGTAGCAGTCCCTTGAGGGCAGGGATGGTTTCGTTTTTTGTACGTGTAGCCCCAGTGTGCAGCACGGTGCTTGGATACAGTAGATGCTATTCCTACTTGCTCTCTGGTGCCTGCCTCGAGTTCCTGTCTCCTGGGAAAGAAAGCGTGCTCTTCTCAGGCATTGGCTGCCCGTCCCACTTTTGGCTAGCTCCGACACGGAGCCTAAAGTGATCTCTTTGTAAGTCTCACCACTGCTTTGAACTCTGCCCTACATGAGGGACCTCTCCTGTTTTGCCTAGAATGTAAATCTTGGTTTTCATATCCCCGGTACCCAACATGGTGCCTTGCACACAGACACATAGTAGGTGTTATTGAATAAAATGGAATTGAAGTAAGCCGAATGACAACTCAGGAGGTAAACACTCCCAGAATGGCCACAGCCATTCTCCGAAGAAAGGTCTAGAAGGACCATGGCTGAGGGTCTCACTGCTGGTGACCGGAGAGCAAGGATCCACCTCACATAGGAGCTGCTTGGGGTTCTGCCTCAATCAAGTAACTACCATCTCTGCTCAGAGCGCGTCCTGGCCTCCCTCCTAGAAAAGAGAGTAGGGGCCTTAAGGGATGTCTCCCCATTCTCTGAGTCATAGGGAGGGTGAAGGTGCCCCTTTAAAACAGGAAGAAAGACTTCAAAGAGAAAACAAAGAAGAGAAGACATCTGAAGACAAAAAGAATCCTCAGCGGGACAAGGAGGGTGGAGGCTGGAAGGATGCCAAAGAGAGAAAGTGGGAGGGAGGGAGGACCAGTGAACACAGAAGGATGTCTAAATAAGGCACCTCCCAGAGGAAGCACCCACAGGTGCTGAGAACTGGGAGACCAACGTACCAAGAGGAGTGGGTGAGGATTCCCGGGGAGAAGCATGGGGGCAGCTCGCCTGAGGGCAGACTTCCAAGGTCTGAGGTCCTCCCGTGGCACATGTCCAAGGTATGGCAGAGAGACTACCAAGAATTATCAAACCGGACGAGTTCTGCTGACTCCCATGGGCACAAAGAACACAGCTGGAAGGAATCCAGAAAGCCCAGCCAACGATCATGAAACAGGGCAAGACCTGGAAACTATTAACACAGCACGGCAGTATTTTCATCACTGCTGGTCATCAGACAGTGGATTCAGAAAGAAGATCAGATTTGGCAAGTGAACATTTGGTTAAGAAAAGAATATCTAGGGGCAGCTAGGTGACTGTGACTAGATCTCTGACCTTGGAATCAGGAGGCCCTGAGTTCAAATCCAGACCCAGACACTTAACATTTACTAGCTGCGTGACCCTGGACAAGTCTCTTAACCCTGATCGCCTCACCAAAAAGAAAAAAAGAATATCTAACAGTGGGACAATATGGAGAGATGGGGGTTAGGTCCTAGGAGTTAGAGGGCCTTGGAACTGCTTGACTGTCCAGCCCCAGGGAGAGGTCAGCCATTTACGGTGCCATATCCACTTGGCTGAAAGTCTCTGGTGGAGTGCCTCAGGGATTGCATTTTTACTAATGACAAAGGTATGAATGGCACACTCGTCAAATTTGCAGATGACACAAACCTTGGGGATAGGGGAACAAGCATTTATTAAGCACTTACTGTATACCAGGCACCGTGCTAAGCATTTTACAGTATCTTGTTTGATCCTCACAAACTTGGGCAGTAGGTGCTACTACTACCCTCATGTTACAGTGGAGGAAACTGAAGCAGATAGCAGTCAAGTGACTTGCCCAGGGTCACACAGCTAATACCTGTCTGGGGCTGGATTTAAACTCAAGCCTTTCTGACCCTGGACAACTTAACCCTGCTTGTCTCAGTTTCCTTATCTGTAAAATGAGTTGGAGAAAGGAAATGGCAAACCACTCCAGGCTCTTTGACACAAAAACCCCAAATGTGAAGGGGCAGACAGTGTGGAACAATTTGTATGCTTCCTGACTAAAGCCCAGTTCTCTATGCAGTGTGGTGTCCCCCAGTGGCAGCTGACACCCAGATAATATAATTAGAATAAAGTTAGAACAGATCTTGGCAGGCTAGAACATTAGGTCAAATCAATTAAGTTGTAATTTAATGAGTCTAAATGCAAATTCTAGGCTAACAAATAGTCATTTTAGAAGTGCAAGATAACAGCATCTTCAGGTTAGAAGAAGATCTGAGGGTTCTAGTGGACAGCAAGTTCAATATGCATGAATTATGTGATTTGGTGGTCAGAAATGCTAATGCTCCCCTGACCTGCACTGTGAGAGGCAGTACTCCTGGAGGTGATCTCGCCACTGTCCTAGGCCAGCCCTGGTCAGGACACATCTGCATGATTGTGTTCAGTTGTGGGCCTGCAATCTAAGAAGGGCACAGAACCTGGGGAGTGTCCAGAGAAGGGCAGAGGAGGGCAAAGGGCTTTGAGATCAGGCTGTAGAAGAGTCAGTTGAAGGAACTTGGGATATTTAGCCTGGAGAAGAGAAGACTCAGGATGGTGAAGGACACCAGGTTGTCTCCAAGTATTTTAAGGGTTATCATGTATAGCTGGGGGTCCATTCATCCCCCGGAGGGCAAAACCAGGATAATCTGATCATAGAGTTAGAGCTGGAAGGGTCTTTGGAAGTCATTAAATTCAAGCCCTTCCTTTTATAGATAAGGAAACTGAGACATAGGGATTAAGTGACTCAACCACAGTGACTCAGGTAATAGACGTCTGAGGCAGGATTTTCATTCTGGTCTTCCTGATCCAAGCCTGATGCTCTCCCACATTGCCACCTAGCTGTCATGAGTGGAAGCATCAGTGTCCTAACACTAGGAGCTGCCCAGAAGAGGAAGGGACTGATCATCTTGGGAGGTCCTCAAGCGCAAGCTCAATGGCCATTCGTTGGACATATTGGAGCAGGGCTTTCTTCTCAGTATTGGTTAAGAATGTTGGGGTCCCGACCAAATAGAATATTCGGTGATTTGGATGTCTAGACCCAGCTTAAAATCTGGGAATGACGCGCTTTTGGCTAGAGAAGAATATCTAACAGAGACCGCAAAGAATATATTTGTCTGAAGTCTTGCAAAGCTAATCAAAAGTGCTTAAAACTGAAAGAGAAGAGAGAAGAGTATCTGTCTATCCTACCTATTATCTCTACTGTCATCTATCATCTCTATTATCTCTGTCTCCATCTATCTGCCTATCTATCTATCATCTATCGTCTTTGTCATCTATTATCTCCATTATCTTCTATCATCTCTATCTACCCTATTATATCATCTCCTCTTGACTCTATTATCTGTCTCTATCAGTCATCTTTATCATTATCATTTCTCTAT